AAAAAAAAACATGTAATAACAGTATTACATAATATTATCTAATGTGTGCCTTGCAGAAGTTGTGCGTGGTTCCCCACATGAACTTTGAATTAAAGAAATTTGGAATCACCTTTGCATTGTGCATTAAATACTGCACATGTGTAGACAGATACTACCAAATCTGGCACTTTGGCGACTGGTAATCCATGTAAAGAAAAGTCTCTATCTTCTAATATAAATAAATCTCTATTTTAGTTCGATATTTATTGAACTAATTATCCTAAGAAATGTGTTTATGACGTTCAGAAAAAAATTACCACCATGTTGCCAATGACGAAAACAGCTATGCTTCATTATGACCTATAAAGTGTTCTGTCAATGTTAAGCATGATCAACTGAAACTAATTTGTTACTGGGTTGGTTGAAAACACGTTGAACTCTAATTGCAGTAAGGTGGCCAAGAAGTTATCTCTAGTTTTAGTGGTATATGATGGCATATGCTCTTGCACACAAATTATATGGCAATAGTTTTTATTTCCTTTGCAGGAATAACCATTAGAAGATACCATTAGAAGTTCTCCATACACAGCCTGTTCCAACACTTTCAACATGCACTTATTTAAAGAAAGCTTAACTTTTAGGTAATTTTTTGTACTTTACTGGTACAAAAATATGGAATATTTTCTCTGTAAATTTATATGTATGTTTTCCTTGGAGCTCAAAACTTTAATTTGTCCGTTAAAAATATAACCAAAAAAATCTACAAAAATCCTCGTTTTAAAAATTAATAAAATATACCTAAATTAATTTTAACTTGTGATAAAGACAAACATGTAGTTAAATGAGTCTTAAATAATAAATTATCATTAATTTGAATTAAATTATTTCAAAGATTTTATACAAAGACAATTTATTTGTGCTGTCCTGTTTTTAGGACGATGAGGAAATATGGGTTAAAATATGAAAATAACGCATGAATTAGTGGTTGCATCGCCAAACGCAAAAAGGAAAACAAAATTAGCATAAAATGCAATCCAGCAGTCGCACCACAAAGCCTTAAGAAGGGGCATGACGGACCTTATGCGTGAAATCTCTGATATTTGTCTCATCTGGAGAATTTTATTTGCGAATTTCAACACGCGTCAGGCCCAAATCGGGACTCAAACAAGAACTGGCAAGAGCAGGACTTTTTCTCCTGCTGAGTGCCAGTATACTCACAGAAGTATTAAAGAATGCGTCAATTCTCGTACTACCGTTATTTAGAGCCGAAGCAGGAAAGCATGAACCATTTGTACTATTCAATGTGTTGGAGAGCTGTCAAGATGTTGCAAGCTGGTGCAAGACAATTCGCTGAATTCTAGAGAGCTGAATTTGCATTGTAGTGTCATCAAGAGGCTGTGGAATGTAAACAAATAGATCAAAACCCCTGTAGAAGACGAGGATCTGGACGCCGGAGGATTAGCACAATGGCAAACGATCGCTTCCTGTTGCTATACGCAAGACGCCGTAACATCACGATAGCTGGCATCGTATCTCTTACAGGAATCAATTAAATGTAATAGCTGAAAATACATCTGCCACAAGCCAACAGGGCAACAACGGAGAGGAAAATGGCATTTTGTAACGATATTTTCAAATTCAAAGCGAAGTAGCAAAACTTAGAAAGAATAAACAAAAGACAGTTATATAAAGACATTAAAAATACCAGTAATAACCTAATGTAGGTAATATAGTAGTAAGAATGCATTTGTTTGTATCAAGAACAAAAAATAGTATGATATATAAAACTTGCGTGAAATTAACCAAATAATTTGCTTATAAACCTTACTTTAAATGCTTGCATACATATATGGAAATATGGAAGTATACATAAAAGTATGGAAATTATAAAAATACAGACTTTATATACTGTATGAATATTATAAATTTTGCATACAATTCACAGTAAAACAGAATAAAGCTAATACCAGTAAGAAATAACAAGGAAGAGGAGGAAACTTTTTAGCCGAAAGGAGAAATTTGCCCTATTAATATCGTTTTGGCATGTTGCGTTGGTTCACTATAAAAATCTGAATTACTTTCAAATTCTTGCCACCAATTATTAGAGCTCTGCATTATAATTAACGAAATTAAATAATGAAGAATCTGCGTGAATGTACGCATGTTTCTCGTACTGTGAAATACAACGGTACCTAGAGACATCGCATTTTGTATAATGTAGGACTCCATTCGAGTATAGGCATCTGGAAGCCCAAATTTAGAATATGGAATTTGTTTTATTATCTATTTCATATTTTGTAAAACTTTATGTAACTTTTTGATTAACAAACTCAACGATTTCAAACCGTTCCATGAACGTCGAGTGCATCTTCAAACACGGATATTTTATGCGCGAGGTTTCTTTACATTTCTTACTAGTATTGTCTTGGTAGCTTAGCAATGCAAAGGCGTTACAATGTCTAACGGTAATTTGCGTCGAATGAATTTGAATGCGTATATCACTTTTCAGATCCCGTTTTGAATTCCCTGTGTGAGAACGGAAGTTTCTCACACCACGCAGTTCGTCATCATAGACACTATCATAACATTAATCGAAATCGCAGAATTACCACGTGCATAAATACACGCCAAACAGGTTTTCAATTTTTTTGCTGATTACGGATCGAAGGAGTATGCGGGGCTGCGAACCTTGCATCGCTCGCACACTTGTAAATGCATTCGTCTCGTAGATGGTAGAAAAGGAAAGAAACAGAAAAAAACAATTACACGAAATATCCATAAGTGATTATGCTGAAAATTAATCTATCTTGAATAATTTTGTTAATATATGTTTTTGCCCAAGAGATTGCTGCCATTGTCATCGGGTCATCAGCTCGTGGTTATCAGCTCAGGTCGTGTCCATTGAATCCTCTTGCACGTAGCATAGATATCCTGGGAATAGATGATGTATTTTAAAAGAATAGTCCTCTAGAACTGGGTACTGCAAAATCCGAAATGTGTATGCGAAACGATGAGAAATTTCCAGCGAGATAACGGAGTGATGACTTCTATTTTCACAGGACTACGCAGTCCTTTTACATATTTTTGTGTGCTATGTTATTAATATGATGTATTTAATAATATATCCAGACATTGCTTAAGTAATTAAATAAAGTGAGATTGAGAAAGTAATTTGTTCTCTGTAGCCTTTATGCGGTATTTTTGAGTAAGTGAAGCATTTTATTATTCTCTTTATTAGGGTTATAACGCAATGTTATAACCCTAATAAAGAGAATAATGAAAACGAGATATCGTTTTTTAGGCCAGCAAATATTGGGCACATGTAACTTTGATTTGATACTCGTAAGTGTCTAGTTAAATAGTGATTTACACGCAGAACCACACCCTGTAAATAAAACGCCCCTTTCGGCGTAATATAACATAATCTGAAAGCTTTCAAATTTTAATTATTGGTTTCAATTTTCTTAATTTGTCCAAAGTTTTTAAAAATTCTTCCAGAACTAGACTCATAAAAGAGGTACACTGACTACCAATAAGTATTTGGACACCTGTGATAGAAAAGAAAAACTAACTATATTCAAAATCAATAGTTGGTAGAGCCTATACGAGAGGTAATTACAGCGTGGACCCTCTGGGGCATACTTTCCACAAGTCTTTGTATGACAGCTAGTGGTATTTTCTTCCACTCGCCTTGGAGAAGACATAGAAGTTCCTTCACCGATTTTGCACGGGTAGTGCACCCCTGAATTCGGCGATGCAACTCGTCCCAGAGGTTCTCGATAGGGTTCAGGTCTGGACTCCATTCGATGGGCAGGCCAGTCCATTCGATGAACTCCATTGCCACCATACCAAGCCTTGATTAACGTCGAAACATGACAACTGAATTGTCGTCCTGAAAGTAACAGGATTCCAACTCGTAAAACTGCCACAAGGTAGAAAGCCCATTGTCATCCAAAATAATACAGTAGGGCATCGGAGTTGAGCTTACCATGAATGGGGACCAAGGGTCCCAGCCCATACCAGGAGAAACACCCCCAGACCATAATTCCACCTCCGCCGAACTTGACTGTTGCCACAATGCATTCTGGTAGGAGACGTTCTCCAGGTAGACGCCAGACCCACACCCTGCCATCCGAACGGTAAAGGGTGATTCGTCCGTTTCCACTGATCTACGGTCCAATTTCGATGTGCCTTGCACCGCATTAACCGAGCAGCGCGGTTGGACTTTGTGATCAAAGGCTTATGGGCAGCAGCACGACCATGAAAACCAAGCAGATGTGCTTCCTTACGGATGGTATTCATTGAAACAATACTCCCGGATGCCTGTTGAAACTCTTCGCGGATGAGGGCTATCGGTTGGGTGCGGTTCTTCCGAATTTCTCTGGACCGCACTCGTCGGTCTCTATCTCCCAGTTTTGTTGGTCTGCCGACTCGGGGCACATTTCGACAATCACCGCTCACCTTCCACTTGTTAATCACATAGGCCACTGTCGATTTTGGGTACTTCAGATCGCTATATATGTCCCTTAAGGATCGGCCACATTTGTGATAGCCGATAATTATACCTTTCTAAACGGAGCTCTCGAAATCAGAGAGCTCCGAACTGCTGCTGTTTCCTACACGATATATACCGGCGGAGTCCGTGATGTACCTTAGGACCGCAGATATCGTCATTTGCATAGGTGTCCAAATACTTATTGGTAGTCAGTGTACTTGACATTAATTTTTGTTGTACTTTCTGATGAAGAGTTGGAATTTTAATATGATCCTTCATTTCTCGCTTTCATTTGACACTGTCTATTAATTTCATTCATTTAATACCTTAAGTAAAAAGAAGTTTTTATAAATCTGCTTTCTTGCTTATTTTATAGTGCGAATCTAAATTTACTTCTGATTCAAACACACGAGATGAAGTGACACTTTTACACACATAACAAAGACATTATTATAATTGCAATCATGTATTCAGTAAAATAACATATTGTATGTATGAAAGTAACTGAATTAAACTACAGTCTTACTTTGATGTTTGTTGTGCGCTGCTCCGGCGTGAAATGTTTGTCCATCTTCTCTTTGCCACGTGACTGTAGGATGCGGATGACCAGTCACGGCACAGCTTAATGTAACATTGGTCCCTTCGCGAGCTAGAACTTCTGTACTTCTTTCGGATTGAATAAACTGTGGAGGTACTAGAAAAGTTCACAACACTTAACATTACCCAATTAAAAACTTGATAATCAAAAAACAAGAATAAGACTTAATATTACCCAATTAAAAATTTGGAGAAAAAACAAGAATAACAAGTTTGTATGATGTCATACGAATGAATCCTTAATATATACTTAATACATATACTGCTTCTCATATATTTAAGTTCCTTAAGCAATGTATCATTGTATTACGTCTATTACAGCTACACATTTATAAATAAATATGAGAAACAGATGGGCATTTTAAAATCTGCTAAATAGATGATATCAACTATGACAAAAACTAGATTCCGATCCTTGAAACAATTTTCCAACCATAAGCCAATCAAGTAAAGGCGCCCATATGACTTTTTAGCTTTACTGTTATATATGAATGCATCAATCTATAGATATATATTATTAATATAACAGGAAAGAAATTAAGCTTCTTTTTTTTAATTTAGCAAAAGCATAAGTGTGTTTAGTTTAAAAAGTTTCTTGAGCCGGATTAATTTACGGATTCTTTTAAGTGCAATTTTAAACTAGAGTTCGTTTTCCAGATTTTTTTCCAATACCTGCTCATTAAGATTTGCGGAGAGTTGCCAAACTTCCCTGTGTTACTGTATAAAGTTTGATTAAGCAATGAACTTTAAATATATCATATTATTTTGCATATATACTGCACTGTGCATTTGATTACTATTTTTTAACGTAGGATTACGTTCCTCTATAATGGTCTGATGAAGCAAATGTTGAGATCCCTCTCTGAGATGTGCGCAAATACTTATTATCTTGAAAACTGCATAAGTTACAATCAATTTGAATACATCATTAGATAATTAAGGTAACAATAACACGCTGAACAAATATTAATTTAAAAGTCAAACAACAAAAATCAGCATAATAATTTTTAAAATTTTCACAGGACTAGTTTCGATGGTTTTACCGAACCATGATCCTCAGCTGCAAAAGCGCAAAAATTTTATCTCGTTCATTTGCGCTTTTGCAACTGAGGATGATGGTTCGGTAAAACCATGGAAACTAGTCCTGTGAAAATTTGAAAAATATTACGCTATTTTTTGTTGTTTGACTTCTAAATTAACAACATTAGACAGTTGAAAACTCAAGTTAGGAAACAGAAAAAAGAATTAAACTGGGCAAAGTGTATACACACAGTAACACGTCAAAAATAGCGAAAATTTAGTGACGTCAAAGCCCCGTGTGTATACTTGACCGAGTGTGAGTGTCAAGGTCGTCTGGCAGACAATCCCGCGCAGACAGTCAGTTTGTTCGGGGGAGGGGGAGTGTTTGCTGTACTTTATTTTATTTCACCAAACCAGTGGTTTTGAATTTTATAGAAATTTGAAGAACGTAGCAGATTGCGTACCAACAGAATTTACTATTAAACAGCGCAAGGGAATGCAGGATTCAGATGCAAGCGGTATTTGTATATTTCATGTAATTTTTAATGGGCAGCCAAGATCTATTCTAGCATCGGTATATATTTATCCAACTGTTGTTTCAGGAGATTTGAAGATGTTTTTGATTAGTGCATTGATTAAATATTCTGAGACTACTTTATTGATCGATCAAGTTTGTATTTCGTGTTTTTATGTTTTTTACTGTAGGTACCAGATGTCCCTGTTGTTATGATGGGACATTTCAATGTAGACGTCAAACGAAATGAAAGGGCGTTTGATTTTTATAAATTAATTTTTTATAAATTTAATCTCAATATTGTGCCAAGTGACTATACAAGTACACTTGTCAAATCATTTATAGATTAAACATTTACTAGGAATATAACTTTAGGCATCCCAAATAATGAATCTTATTTCTCACATAGTCGACTAGTTTTATATAGGGTCACTTTGAATGAATAAATGTAATAATAATAAAAAATAAAATATATATGTGTGTGTGTGTAAAATCTTCTTTGTTTTTTGCAACATCCTCAGTAATAACGGCTCTTTAAACTAACAGAGCCTAACATCAATCTTTTTATTTGTAATGCTGCATGAAAATATCTTGCAAGATCCGTCTGTTAATAAACTGAAAAAATAAATACATAAATTTAGACAAACTCTTTCGATAATATTTAGTAGAATAAAATACTATAACTCTTTTTATACGATTTAAACAAATGCTTGGAAGGATCTTACAACTATAAGTTATTTCGATATTTTTTCCAAGGCGCAGTGTGTAAACGATAATTCGACACCTCTAAAGAGAATTCCTAACTTCCAGATCCAAATGACTTCAGTATCCTTAAAAAACGACCTAAAAGTAAACATTATTCCTCCTTGAAGAACCTTTTTGAGATAGTAAAGGGGAAACTTTTGTTTGTCGAAACAAATGGTTTAAATTCCCAAAAAAACACAGACAAAGAAGGAAATAAGTAAAGAATAAAATGAAATTCTACAAGTCGAAACTCTCGCCGCACAAAAAGGAACGTTAGTGCCAAATTTTATGTTCTTTCTCCTTTCTGCAGTTGAGTCATAAAATAAAGTTTCACGTTTATTAGGCCGTAGCATGGCGGCCATTTTGACCTAAAGCACTACTAAAGAATTCGTCGGAATGCTTTGACTATAAAATCCTCACGTATACAATAAATTTAGCATGGTTAAGAAAAGAGATATATAGAATAAACTTATATCTATACCGCTTTCTCTCACAGCATATACAGATACAGATATCCCAAAACCTGCCTAAAATGCTTTGCTGGATGCCATATCGTAAAATGTTTAAAGAAGAATGTCTCTCAATTCGGAGTTTTTTTTTTAGCACGCCTGTCCTTTAGTACGCATTATAGAATCTCTATGTAAGAATAGTTAAACTTACGTAACTGAAGACCAGATGGAAAGGAATTGTATAAATGTGTTACCTACCTCTTGCGTTTGTAAAAATATACAGAGATGCAGTTAAAATTTAGTTCATTACAAAAAATCAGTTTTTTATTCTCTACCGAATTATTATCACTTAGCTGCAGTAAGTATCATTTATGTCCCACTTAATGTATTCTGTATTTCCAAACTGGAGTACTTTTTATGATTTTTCAGAGTTTTAAGAAGACATTCTACTCCAACTTATATCAGTGTGCTAAAAGGTCCAACAATTTTCATTTCTGATGTCAAAATAAGAAAGCTTTGAGTATTAACCTTATATTTCCTTGTTATATATGAACTAAACGGAAGAAGAATACATTTTAATTATACAAAGGTCGAATTACATATTAAGTGTTGGAAATAATCAGTACAAGTAAGCAGTATCAAAAATAAAATATGTAAATATATTTGCGATTTCCAAATACTATTTCCAGCAGCTGCGAGATGTATTATAAACAAGACTTATGTGAGGAAAAGAATGGCACGACGAATAAAACTGAGACGACATTATTTGGCGTTGCGGCCCACCAGCGGATGAGCGGTAAAGTCACTGAACACTGGTAGTTCGGTCCGAGATTCGAATCCCACGAACGGGCTGGCTGAATGGGCGTTTTCGTGGTTTTTCCCATGTGTAACGTGTATATGAGCCAGTTTCCCTTAGAAAGTCCTCCACGAAGGCATCCCTCCCCTTAGGCAGATAGTCCTAGTGAGCTTTGTCATAATTAAATACACCACTAAACCATTATTTGGCGTCAATTATAGAAGTGTTTTCAACGATTGATTACTATCGCTTTCTTCAGCTGCAACTAAATGAAAGACCAACATCACAAACACATATTGTTCAGTTATTGAAAGAACTCGACTAAACTGACATTAAATAAAGCTATTTCATTCTTCTCCGACTGTCTTTTTTTTGTTCTTTGTTTCAAATCTCAGCAATAATAATTTATTTCCATTTTCTTTGAGAGGCCCACTAGCGGCCGAGCGGTAAAGTCGCTAAACACTGGTAGTTCGGTCCGAGGTTCGAATCCCGCGAACGGACTGGCTGCATGGGTGTTTTCGTGGTTTTCCCCATGTGTAACGTGTATACGAGCCAGTTTCCTTTAGAAAGTCCTCCACGAAGGCATCCCTCCTCTTAGGCAGATAGCCCTCGAGGCTTTGCCATAATTACACACACACACACACACACACTATTTTCTTTGATATCGAGAATAATAGATAAGAAAATTTATAAAGCCACTATTTTTCTATTAATTAGGGCATATAATTTCATTGTACAAGTTTTTCGACAATATCTGCTCATTTAAAGAAAAAATGGTAGCTAAAAGTACATACCTTCTAATTTTATTATATTTGCTTGATGATCATAAATTATAGGGTACTATTTTAGTTTAATTGAACTATGGTCCTGCTTTCTCGAGGCTTGATATACCAACCAACTATAAAGAATATATGTCCCTGGATATTTCAAAACATTGTTAGTGCAAAGCAGGTGCGAAGTTTCAGACCATCTTTATGAACCTCGCATCATTTGCCCCTTAATTATTATTTAAGTATACCTACATCGTTACATTCTACTTATCCTTATGTGTGATTATATCTATCAGTCCCTTTACAAAATAGCATCTCCTTTAGAGTTAGGAATATTCTCTTTGAAATACACGAGAAGGAACAGAATCCAAAATTTTTAAACATATACATTATTTCTTTATGCAAAGATGTAAAATTAAATCGAAATAGAGATTTAATATGGTATCTATTCTAAAAGATCTGATTCCAATGAAAATTTATATAGGTATAGATTCAAATAATAGATGTGAGGATATAGAACATATACCACCATTTAATAAAAAGACTAGAGCTATTGAATTAATAAATGTTTTAAAATTATTCCTTAATTGTAAATATTTATCAAATTTTAAAATTGAAATGGTTTAAAAAATTGCTGACAAGGAAATTTTCCAACCTGAAAAAAATATATACATATATAGGATGTCATTGCCTTTAACAACTACACCAAAGTAGAAGTTGCTAATATCTACCCTACATGCTTAAAACTAAATAATACAAATACAGTGCAACATAATGTAGTCTACCTTGATTTACATATTATTG